AACTACTTCGGTAACAATGTGTCTCCTTACACACTACATCGATTCAATCTGTAGTTGTTTTGGGTAATTTTATTCCTAATGCTTCAAGACAGACTTGACCGTCACATCCTACAGATGCCACTTATGTTCGTAGCTCTTTCCAACCAGGGAGACCTTTACAGTCTTTTTCAACCCGGAGTAGGCAAAACATCCCGAGTGGAGCAGCGCGTCCGCACCGTCACTGGCTCAGCGGGATAGATTAGAATGTGAAGGGACGCAGACTGCCAAGCAGCACGAATTGTTGCAAAACGAATTCCCACCAGCCCAGTCGGCCTAAACTGAGTTGAAACTTACTATACCTTCGATTGTCATCTTGGATGCAGGCAAGTACACTTTAAAGGGCTGCTAACTTTGCGTCTTGAAAGCATCATGCAAAAATTTTCGGAAATCTGCACGTTCATGTGCAATCTACGACAAGTTTGCAATTCGTTGTATGTCTAACTAACAGCCTATTCTTGATTCGGTTCGTAAGTTTCAAAGCTTTATCGTTTGGTTGGCTGAGAGAGTGTCGAGGTATATTAGTCGCTTTATAAGCTCGTATTTTTTCTTGGCAGCATTTTTGATGAAGTGGTTGGTTTACGGCAAAGTGCCTGTACTACAAAAGCGCCAGTCTTCCACTACAAGAACTGATGCTCCTTTTTGAAGCATACTTGAATCCCCCTGTTTGACTAACATTCAAAGCAAATTTTTTTTCGGTACCTGCAAATTCATCCATACGGAAATCATAAGTGGGGAGTCGCGAAACAGTGCGTCTCTCTGGCGAGACTACTCTCTGACCATTTTCTTGTCCTGGAAGCCCCGCCTTCCAGCCTCCAATCCAGTTGAATCAAAGGATAGATTTATGTTCACACATTCAGAAGAATATCGTTGTAAAATGTGAAGTTGACCTTAGAAATTCAAGCACTAAAACAAGAGACAAGAATGCGAATGACGGTCTCTTTTATGTAGGCGATTTGAGCGGACGTTGTGAAGATGAAACCCTAAAATTAAGTGCTCCGGTTATGGTTTTCAATTTCTGCTTAAAAGCAGCTAATGCACTATCAGCTATCGCTAATGTACAGTTAGATGTTTCGAAAACGCCGCTAAATAACACATAATAAATGATTTGGTGTGGAACTAAGACTAACAACACGCAGTCACATTTCTGAAGGCGTTAAAAGAAGGAAGGATTCTTGAATCACGAAAAGCACAAGCATATGCTAGGCATTTGGTAAGATTGGTAAATAATTTGAGTGTTAGTCAATGCAACATCTAAATGGCAATAGTACAAACACATAACATCACCAAAAACCTTCGCAGTGCAGACAAGGATTTGAATTGATTATCAATACACTTCGACTAGATTGAGGAAAATCTAGCGTTCCTTGTCGAAAGCGGAATGCTGAGGGTTCTGCGATTTGGTGCCCTTTTTCCAATGAACACTCGTTCGAATGTAATGCCTGTAACAGAAATTACTACGAACTAAAGTTTTTGTATAGTGACCCGGACTCCCATGATAAACACTTCATCTCTCCATAAAAATTTTTTTGTCACTCTTCCAATCGGTAAACGTATTTGCTGGTTTGATTTCACCCTTTGAAAAGGTCACTTGTGTCATCTGTATCCCATTGATCGTCGCATGACACCAGCGGGACCCAGTAGCCCCAGTCCGTCTCTGTCGCAAACAGCAACGCTTTGAAGGACTTCGTTGAAGCAGTTCATGAACATGTGTGACTATCGGTTGGCGGACTACTTCGTTCTCGCTTGAATTCCAGCGGTGTCTACTCCTCTACAGCTCCGGTCCACTAGTTGTGCCGAAACGCATGTCCCTTTGATTTTGTTTTGTTTGGCGAATGAAGTAGCCCTGACTGTCTATCGCTGACATAGGGAAGAACTTCATTTTCCTCCGGTTACTTACGTCAACCAGGTCATTTTTAACCAGTGCGTCTCCTCTGCTTCGCAGAGGCTCGCACTGGCTCTGCTATCTAGGCCCTACTCATTCACGCATAATGATGGCATTGCAACTCACCGAGCAATGCCGATTATCACGAACAAAATATAAACAATTACTCATTCCTAAAGCTTTTTTATGTTAAATCGGTGACTTTGAGTGGATGAGACTTTTTGCACAAAAACAAATGCAAATTTTTATAGGTTTTTGATTTTCCCATGGTCTTGACATTTCAATAAGAACAGCGGTCATTGTGAGCTACATCTTTGTGCGAAAATCTCGTCAAATGCTCTGGTACAAGCGTGGCAAATTGACCATTTACGCAACCAATATTTTTTGGCGCCGTTTTTATAAAGTAATGGACTTTTGATCACTTTTTTGCGCCTAAGTTCATGGCTTGCACATCTACTTGGCATAAACATCCACGACTCTGCAGAAGGTGGAATCACGCCCCCAATTTTGCGGCTCAAATGCAAAGTGGTTCCATTTGAGTCGCAGTTTCTGAGGGATCCACTCAACGAATCTGCTCGTGTTTTTGCATGTTGGACTTTCATGCGGGTACCATGCGCTGTGCAACATTTGAGCCCAGGAGGTTGGCTGGAACATGCTCTAGAATTTCGTAACAGACACACTCACAGACACACACACACAAGGTTACACATCCTGCCCGTTACTATAAGTACCAGTGCGCCACCTCTGCTTTGCAGAGGCTCGCACTGGCTCCACTATCTAGGCCCTACTCATTCTCGCATAATGATGGCATTGGAACTCACCGAGCAATGCTGACTATCATGAACAAAATGTAAACAACTACTCATTCCTAAAGCTTTTTTATGTGAAATCGGTGAATTCGCGTGGATGAGACTTTTTGCAGGAAAACAAACGCAAATTTTTATAGGTTTTTGATTTTCCCGTGGTCATGACAGTTGCAATAAGAACAGCAGTCACCGTGAGCTACATCTTTGTGCAAAAATCTCGTCAAACGCTGTGATAAAACATTGGCAAATTGAACATTTAAGCAACCAATACTTTTTGGCGCCGTTTTTGTTAAGTAATGGACATTTGATTACTTTTTTAGACCTAAGTTAATGGCTTGCACATTTACTTGGCACAAACATCCGCGACTCTGTAAAAAGTGCAATTACGGGCCCAAATTTGCGACCCAAACGCAAAGTGGATCCGTTTGACGCGCAGTTTTTGAGGGATCCACTCAAGGAATCTGCTCGTGCTTTTGCATGTTGGACTCTCATGCGGATAGCATGCACTGTGCAAAATTTGAACCAAGGAGGTTGGCTGGAACACGCTTTACGAATTTCGTAACACACACACACACACACACACACACACACACACACACACACACACACACACACACACACACACACACACACAAAGTCACGTAAACATCCTTAGCCCGTTATTATAAGTAATGATAATGATAGCACATTCTCCAAAGCCGCGTTTGTTGATGTTCACCGCGCGTTCATTTTACTTCCTCATTGCCGTCTTTTTGATGTACTCGAAGCATGAAGAACCGTCGTGTTGAAAAGAGATGGGCGCGGAGCCGCGAGTTCTTGGTCTTCTCCACCCCAACTGTCTTGCACACTTCCACACTGCTCGTTTATTCTCAGTTCCAGAGCTAGGTTGTTCATCATATTGATTAGCCTCTCTAGATGAGTATGACTAGTGCATTCCAATATGTCGCTCATTCGTTCCGTGCAGGGATAATCAGGAACCCGTTCGTTTCTTTTCAAAAAATTCGTCAGTTTCAGCCGCAGCCCACATTCATTCCACTTGCATGTGTTTGGCGTAATTAGGATTGTCACCAGCAAAACAAAGGTGGTGTAGCCACAGCCGTTGATTTTCACTCCCGATTCCAATGCAAACCTTGCTCTCCACACCGATGATTGTCTGCAGAATGGTGTGGTGCTATTGTGATGTTTTGTACTGCTCACAATGACTTTGAACTGGGAGATACCTTGATGCTCAAGACATCGATTACAGCCCTAGTTTCAGCCGGATCTTATTTAATTCGATAAGGTGAGATAGAGCAGTATCCTGTACACTCGCGAAGTTTCACTGAGCCTCGATAGCCCCAGTTATTATAGTTTTCATAATTATGCCTACTAGACTTACTTCCATGCTTCTTCTAATCTTCAGTTATTACTTATACCCGTGCTAGTAGGTATAATTATGAAAACTGATGAAAACTAGCGTAGATTTTTTTAGGTGTTCCGGTTTAGTTCAGTCTTTAGAACGCCTGCCGGTATTGTCAGTTTTAAGACGAAGATGACCGTACTACGCCTTTTTGATGGAAGCACAATCCTTCTCCGAATGTTCCAGAAGGTTACCCAAGTTTTACTCTGATCTCTTTAAAAGCGACGTCCACTTCCATTTTGCCATCTCAAAGAAAACGACTACTCAGACAATCGCCGGGGGCAGGCGGGCACCGGAAAAATAGTTTGCTGGTCTCTCGGACCCCGCTCGCGGATTTTTTGTAAAGCAATCAGGACTTTTCGGAAGACCGCTTGCTGAATTCTCGATTCCTCAGAGATTCAGCAATATATCTGCAAAAAATAAGAGCGAAAAAAATTCAACAGGCGGTCCCTCAAAAATCCGCTGACTCAGCGAGCGTTCTTCCGAAAAGTCCTGGTTGCTTTGCAAAAAATCCGCGAGCGGGCTGCGAGAAATCAGCAATCTATTTTTCCGGTGCCCGCCTGCCCCCGGCGATTGTCTGAGTAGTCGCACGATCATTTTTTCTTTGAAGTCCGAACATGCTATCAACTAAGAAAGATCAAGCCGAAAGACCTAAAAAATCTCCGCCTAGTTTTATCACTCGGCAAAGCTCTTACGCGCTAATTGAAGGAGGGCAAGGATACAAGTCAATGAAAGAACAGTAAGACCGTACTGGTGTAAGAGAAGGGTATACCGAGTAGTTGGCAAAAATATCGCTCAATTTGCTCGTTGTCTGTAATCTATAAACCTTTTACACGAATAACACCAGGCTTGAAAGATTACTAGACAAACAACCATGAAAGAAGGTTAGGTTCGGAAAAGAAGTCGCGCAAGACTGCATCCACATGTATCGAGGCTCAGTGAAATTTCGCTAGTGTACAGGATACTGCTCTATCTCACCTTATCAAATTAAATAAGGCCCCTGATCCGGCTGAGACGAGGGCTGTAATCGATGTCTTGAGCCATCCAGGTATTCCGACCCAGTTCAAGGTCATTGTGAGCAGTACAAAACATCACAATTAGCATCACACTATTCTGCAGACAATCATCGGTGTGAATAGGGGGCAAGGTCTGCATTGGAATCGGGAGTGAAAATCAACGGCAGCTACACCACCTTTGTTTTGCTGGTGACTGTCCTAATTACACCAAACACATGCAAGTGGAATGAATGTGGGCTGCGGCTGAAACTGACGAATTTTTTGAAAAGAAACGAACGGGTTCCTGATTATCCCTGCACGGAACGAATGAGCGACACATTGAAATGCACTAGTCATACCCATCTAGAGAGGCCAATCAATATGATGAACAACCTAGCTCTGGAACTGAGAATAAACGAGCAGTGTGGAAGTGTACAAGACAGTTGGGTGGAGAAGACCAAGAACTCCCGGCTCCGCGCCCATCTCTTTTCAGCAGACGGTTCTTCCTGCTTTGCGTACATCAAGAAGATGGCAATGAGGAGGTAGAACGAACGCGCGGTGAGCATCAGCAAACGCGGCTCTGGAGAAAGTGCTATTGAAAATGACCTGGTTGACGTAAGTAACCGGAGGAAATGAAGTTTTTCCCTATGTCAGAGATAGACAATCAGGGACTACTTCATTTGCCAAACAAAACAAAATCGGATGGACCGGACATGCGTTTCGACGACAATTGGTGGACCGAAGCTGTAAAGGAGTAGACGTCGCTGGAATTCAAGCGAGAACGAAGTAGACCGCCAACCGATAGTCAGACATGTTCATGAACTGCTTCAACAAAGTCCTTCAAAGAGTTTCTGTCTGCGACCTGGGGCTATTGGATCCCGCTGATGTCATGCGACGATCAACGGGATACAGATGACACAAGTGACCTTTTCAAAGGGTGAAATCAAACCAGCAAATACGTTTACCGATTGGAAGATTGACAAAAAAATTTTTATGGGGAGGCTCACTATACAAAAACTTTAGTTTGTAGTAATTTCTGTTACAGGCATTACATTCGAACGAGTGTTCATTGGAAAAAGGCACCAAATCGCAGAACCCTCAGCATTCCGCTTTCGGCAAGAAACGCTAGATTTTCCTCAAACTATCAAGTGTTTTGATAATCAATTCAAATCTTTGTCTGCATTGCGAAGGTTTTTGGTGATGTTATGTGTTTGTAAGATTGCCATTTAGATGTTACATTGACTAACACTCAAATTATTTACCAATCTTACCAAATGACTAGCATATGCTTGTGCTTTTCGTAATTCAAAAATCCTTCCTTCTTTTAACGCTTTTAAAAATGTGATTGTGTGCTGTTAGTCTTAGTTCGCACACCAAATCATTTATTGTGTGTTATTTAGCGTTTTTGAAACATTTAACTGTACATTAGCGATAGCTGATAGTGCATTAGCTGCTTTTAAGCAGAAATTGAAAACCATAACAGAAGCACTTATTTTTAGGGTTTCATCTCCACAACGTCCGCCCAAAGCGCCTACATAAAAGAGACCGTCATTCTCATTCTTGTGTCTTGTTTTAGTGCTTGAAATTCTAAGGTCAACTTCACATTTTACAACGATATTTTTCTGAACGTGTGAACATAAATCTACCCTTTGATTCAACTGGATTGGAGGCTGGAAGGCGGGGCTTCCAGGGCAAGAAAATGATCAGAGAGTAGTCTCGCCAGAGATACGCACACTGTTTCGCGAGTGCGAGCGGTCGCCTTCCAGCCTCCGATTCGTTGAATCAGAGAGCGGTTGGTTCACAAGTGCCTGTATCATTCGAAAGAGCTAATTAGCTCTACAAGAATTGTTGTTTGAGGGAACCAAGTTTTAGGTAAAAGTCGACGATTACGGTTACTCACTTTCCCGTATTTGGTCCGTATCCCGCAAAATTACCTCATATGTAGGCGGAGGGCTAGTAGCGGAAAATTGGTGCGGTTGGTTTATAAGTACGGTTGGTTTATAAGTAGCGGTTGGTTTATAAGTACCTGTATCATTCGAAAGAGCTAGTTAGCTCTACAAGAAAAAGTCGACGATTACTGCAACTCACTTTCCTTTTGGTCCGTATCCCGTATGGATGGAAATTTGCAGGTACGAAATGGTCGAAATTTGCAGGTACCAAAAAAATTTGCTTTGAATGTTGATCAGACAAGGGGATTCAAGTTTGCTCCAAAAACGAACACCAATTCTAGTGCAAGACTGGCGCTTTTGTGTAGTACAGGTACTTTGCCGTAAACCAACCACTTCATCAAAAATGCTGCCAAGAAAAAATACGAGCTTATAAAACGACCTAATATACCTCGACACTCTCTCAGCCAACCAAACGAAAAAGCTTCGAAACTTACGGACCGAATCCAATAGGCTGTTAGACATACAAGGAATTGCAAACTTGTCGTGGATTGCACATGAACGTGCAATTTTCCGAAAATTTTTGCATGATGCTTTCAAGACGCAAAGTTAGCAGTCCTTTAAAGTGTACTTGCCTACATCCAAGATGACAATCGAAGGTATAGTAAGTTTCAACTCAGTTTAGGCCGACTGGGCTGGTGGGAGTTCGTTTTGCAACAATTCGTGCTGCTTGGCAGTCTGCGTCCCTTCATTCTAATCTAACCCGCTGAGCTAGTGGCGGTGCGGACGCGCTGCTTCACTTGGGATGTTTTGCCTACTCCGGGTTGAAAAAGGCTGTAAAGGTCTCCTTAGTTGGAAAGAGCTACGAACATAAGTGGCATCTGTAGGATGTGACGGTCAAGTCTGTCTTGAAGCATTAGGAATAAAATTACCCAGAACAACTACAGATTGAATCGATGTAGTGTGTATGGAGACGCATTGTTACTGAAGTAGTTTCGTGCAGCAACTTAAACATTGAAACACTAAATTTTGGTCAATGCTGAATGAAGCGTACGCTGCTCTCGTTTTGTACTGTGTTCGCTTTGTGCTCGAGAGCATTCGCTCTCGAGCACAGAACGCTTTATTTCAGGTCCAGTATAAATATGTACGCATTTTTCTTCCTCTTACTATTGCTCTGCTTCAACGTCAATGCTGAACGAATTAGAAGAGCGCCTCAACGGCCTGGATTTTTTGATGTAAGAACGCGTTAAAATTTATTGCATGGCAGAAATATGACAAAATTTCGTAACTTTCTTTATAGTGTTTGCAACATTGCTGGAGTTATCCATGGAGGCAGATACCCGGCTGTATAAAATTCTGCAGATCAAAGTATAATACAGACGATTAACGTTTCAAGACACCAAAGCACAGTGTCCGTTCAATTTAAATTCAAGACACCAAAGCACAGTGTCCGTTCAAATTAAACTTAAGACACCAAAGCACAGTGTCCGTTCAAATAAACTTTCATGCAACGAGTTATGCATACACTTGATATGCTTACTGCTCAGACATGCTTTAGGTAGATTTTGCGAGGACCTCGGAAAGTTCCTTTAAAGCCCTCGCGAAGTTTTGCAGATGAGTCTAGGAAGTAAGAAATTCCCGAGGACTTTATTTGCAAACTTCCGCATAGCCGCGTTCTTTCAATTATTGGACTCATATATTATGAATACTCCGTAATAAAGCGCAGAACCATTTGTGTTAACATTCCGATAGATATTGTCTCAACTCATTCTTCATTTTCACGCATTCGCGTGTATCCGTATTGGTTATCAGTTAGATAGCCAGAATAATCCATAAGCATCGATGTTATGATAGTCCTGCGCAGTCCTGCAGTGCTGCGCAAATGTCTTAGGGGTGGAAACGGTGTGCTAAGCAGCATGGAAACTCACCTATACTGCAAATTTATATCTTAATTTATATCTTTATACCCTAAACCAGGGACAATCCTTATCGATGATAAGGTATGCCCATGAATTATAGCGTATAGGATGCTGCATGACGAAGGCGCAATATCTTTGGGCGCGAATGCTGTTTTATTAGCCGCGGAGAGCATGAGGTGCAGAATTTACAACGGTGAAGATACGCGCGCGAAGCGTTCGCGCCCGCTCAACTACTACTGCTTGTGCGCCTGCTGCATGCAGCAGCCTTTATGTGAAACGATGCGCTAAGCAGCAGAATTCACCTATTCTGCAAATTTATATCTTAAGAATTCAGAGCAATACATAAGAACATGAGAAATTAACAGTTTTGCCGGCATCTCTACTCAAGAAATGCACACCGTAAAAGTTACGATAGCCTAACAAGTACATATTAGGGTGATCCAAAAGTAATGGGAGACCTTGATTTTTTGAACAATTTTCAAGATCTCTATCTGATTCACCTGTATCACCTGTATCCCCGTTGATCATCGTGTTGCACGAGCGGGTACCAGTGATGCCTCCATTCATCCCTGTCTCGGTCGATTGTTGCCAATGTTTATGTATCGCACCAGGAACACGTGGAACGCTCTGAAGGACTTCATTAAAGGACTTCGTGAACATATCTGACCATCGCGCCGGCGGTCTTCCTCGTTCGCGTTTGACGTCCAGTGGTATCCAATCTGTTACAGCTCTCGTCCACCGGTTGTCGTCGAAACGCATTACGTGCCCGGTCCATCTTATCTTGTTCTGCTTGGCGTACGCGGCAGCGTCCCTGATCTTCGATCGTTGACGTAGGGTAGAACTTCGTAATCCTTGCCTCATCGATTCACTCCTAGCATCACTCTCTCAACAGCTCGTTCGATGACGCTAACCGCGTGTTCATCCTGCTTTCTCATTGTCCATGTTTCTGAAGCGTACGTCAAAGCAGGAAGAACCGTCGAGTTGAAAAGGTGGGCGCGGAGCCGGATGTTCTTGGTCTTCTTCACTACGTCCTCAATTGTCTTATATGCTCCCCATGCTGCACGTTTCCTCCTGCTCAGTTCCGGAGCTAGATCGTTCATCATATTGAGTTCACGACCTAGGTAGGTGTAGCTTGAGCATTCGGTGATGTTCGTCCCGTTGAGCATGAAAGGAGCATCAGGCACTCTTCCGTTCCTCATGAACATCGTCTTCGTTAGATTCAGCCGTAGACCGATCTTTCCACACACTTCGTCAAACTGGGCCAGCATTTGTTCCGCCTGCGTGATGCTTGGTGTTATCAATACGATGTCATCAGCAAAGCGAAGGTGGTGTAGCTGCCGGCCGTCGACTTTCACTCCCATGTTGTCCCATTCCAACTTACGCATGACGTTCTCCAGAGCGGCACTGAATAGTTTCGGCGATATAGTATCGCCTTGTAGCACGCCTCTCTTCACGTCAATGATGATGTCCTTGTAGAATGGTGTTATGGTGGTTGTGAAGTCGTTATACAGCTCACGAATTATCTTGATGTAATGAGTCGGAATACCTTGATTGCTCAAGGCATCGATGACGGCTTCAGTCTCAACCGAGTCAAAGGCCTTCTTCAAATCGATGAAGGTGAGACAGAGCAGCATCTTATACTCTCGTGACACTTCAATAAGCCTTGACACCGTGTGTATGTGATCGATCGTGCTGAATCCTCTTCGAAACCCAGCTTGCTCGCATGGTTGTCCTTCGTCCAACTCTCTTCCGATCCCGTTGAGAATGACTCGCGTAAAGAGTTTGTAGACTACAGACAACAAGCAGATAGGGCGATAATTGCCGATGTCGCAGGGATCTCCCTTCTTGTACAGCAACACGGTTTTGCTGGTCTTCCATTGCCTTGGAACCTTGCCTTCCGTCAGGTACCGCGTGAAGAGCCTTGCCAAAGTCTTGATGAGAACTGGCGAAAGATTCTTCAGATGTTCTGGCTTAATCCTGTCGGGACCGGGTGCTGTACGGTTTTTCATCGACATGATAGCATGACGAATCTCAAAAGGAAGAACAGACGGTGCGACATACTCGTCCTCCTTGAGATGGCATGGTGGAAGGTGGACGTGGCTCGCAAAAAGATCCGAGTAGAAGTCGTGGGTGACCTTCTCCATTGATCTTCGGGAAGCAGTTATGGTTCCGTCAGGACGACGAAGTGCGGTCATCTTTGTCTTGAAGTTGACGAAGCTTCGGCGGGCGTTGCGTATACTTCTTCCAGCCTCCGCAGCGTCAACCATCACTGCTACTCTTCTCTCCTTAAGGTCTTCTTTTATCGCTTCTCTGCATCGCTTCGCAAGCTCGGACGTCAGTCGGTAGTTGCCTGTGGCTCGTGCGCGTCCACGTTGGCGTATCAGCTCCAAAGTCCCCGTGGTGAGACGCCTTCTCGTACTTCTTAGACTCTGAGCTTCCTTGGCACAACCGTGGAGATGTTGTACGAACCGTTCGTATTCTTCGTCGATGTTGTCCATCACGGTATCTCGCCATGAGCCGGATATCGAAGAAAACAGATCCCAGTTGGTGGTATTCATGGGACGATGTTTCCTGAACTTGACGGCTCTCTCTCCATTCCGCGGAAAGTAGAATTTGGCGCGCAGGAGACGATGGTCTGATCCCGTATAGAACTGCGGAACAACAGCGACGTCCGTCAGGCAGTACCTTCTGTTGACGATGATGTGGTCAATCTCGTTATGGTACTCTCCACCGGGCGATTCCCAGGTCCAGCGTAGGGAAGAGGGCTTTTGGAACTGTGAGTTTTCATGGATAGTCCTCGTCGTCATGATAAACTCGGACAGTCTCTCCCCTTGTTCGTTCCACTGCAAACCATGGGTTCCGATGTGAAGTTCCTCAGTCGACCTTCTAGTTCCGATCTTCGCGTTGAAATCACCGACGATGATCTTGTGGAAGGTATGATCTTCTCTGTAGAACTTCTCCAAGTCCATATAAAATTCCTCGAGTTCGTCCTCGTCGTAGCTGGATGTTGGGGCGTACGCAATGAAGACGGTCAAGGCAGGGATTGATCCACATCTTGATATTCGCAAACGTCCGATTCGAGTTGTAAGTTGTTCGAACGAATCGATGTTCATGGCCAAACTCGTGTTGACAAGGACTCCCACTCCACCTACTCCTCGACTGTCGCATGTTCCTAGAAACAGTTCTTCTCCAGTCTCAAATGTGGCGTTCAGCGAGTGGTGCCTCCTTGTCTCGGTCAGTCCGATGACGTCGTACTTAATCTTCCTTGCTTGCATCATGAGATCTTAGATAGATGCGTCCGATGCCAGCGTCCTCGCGTTGTAAGTACAGATCGTCATCATAGTCCGTCTCGTTTTCGGCAGCCTAGATCGCCTTTCAAACCTTGTCCCCACTGGCGCTGCCTTACCAGTGGCTTTTCCAAGATTAAAGGAGCTTTCCATATTATCACTGTGTCGAACAAGAATTTACTCGCAGGGATAGCTTGTTGGGCTCAAAACCCCCGCGAGGGACGATCGGAGCTTATTTGTTGGAGGCGACTCCGAACTCGCCTCCCCACACACCTACCCGGGAAATTAGGACGCAAGCTTTTAGTGGAGGCAGGGAGTCCGTCCCCCGGCTCCGCTTGCTTATCAGAGCAGGCGCGGGGTCATCCGCCACCTGTGGACGCCCCACGTAGCCTCGCGACTAACCGGCTGTGATCCCTCTATGAGGGAGATCCGTGGCTATGAGGGAGATCCGTGGAAGCTATGAACAATCAGCAATTTGAAGGCCTTTGTATAAAGTGACCCTCGCAGGTTATCTTGGCAGCACCTTGCAGCACCTCACCGACATTCCTTCGAGTGGGGCTTCAAGGACGTCAGACAGACTTTTTTGAACGCCATCCGAATTTGTGCTGCTGCACCTGAAAGTTCCTCGACATATGGACCATTCGAAAGAACTCTTCATGCTCTTTTTAATGATTGCCTAAATATTCAAAAATTGCCCATTATTTCATGCAAAAAAAGGCACTTCATTCGAAAAAATGCGGTGTTCGGCGCAGATTTTCAGGCTAAAATTCATGTTTTGGCCCACAATTTTTTGGAAATGAAAAAAGTCAAAATGATTTGCATATATATGGATAGAGCGTAAAAAGCACTATCAGAAAGCAACTGTTAAGGTTGAGCTTATTTGAACACCTTGACGAAAGAATAAGTAATATGTCTTTTGATACCCATTGCTATATCTTGTGTTCTAAAGCCTTGGGACCACCGGGCTATCTTGGATTTGGTGACAGCCCCCTCACCCACCGGTGCGCAGATATCTTTGGTAGGTTCACTTGTTTTACTGCGGCGCTGCTGCTCAAAGTTCTAAACACTTGAAGTGATGAGCTTTAATCTTAAGCGCTTTTAAAAATAACGCAATGTGACAGTGCCCATCTGTAGACCTCAATCAGAAGGTTTTTACGTACTAACATCTGCCAAAACTTGGACTTTCTGCATTTATTCTCTAGGTGCCCCATTACTTTTGGATCACCCTAATACTTTATTTGGAGTTAACCTCTTTGAAAGCGACGTCCAATGAGGAGGTAGAATGAACGATAGCGAACGTGCGGTGAACATCAGCAAACGCGGCTTTGGAGAATGTGCTATTAAAAATGACCTGGTTGACGTAAGTAACCGGAGGAAAATGAAGTTTTTCCCTATGTCAGCGATAGAAAATCAGGGACTACTTCATTCGACAAACAAAACAAAATCAGATGGACATGCGCTTCGACGACGATTGATGGACCTGGAGCTGTAGAGGAGTAGACAACACTGGAATTCAAGCGAGAACGAAGTAGACGCCAACCGATAGTCAGACATGTTTATGAACTGCATCAACGAATTCCTTCAAAGCGTTCCTGTCTGCGACCTGGGGCTATTGGATCCCGCTGATGTCATGCGACGATCAACGGGATACAGATGACACAAGTGACCTTTTCAAAGGGTGAAACCTAACCAGCAAATACGTTTACCGATTGGAAGATTGACAAAAAAAATTTTATGGAGAGATAAAGTGTCTACAATGAGAGTTCGGCTCACGTTGTATACAAAAACTTTAGTTCGTAGTAATTTCTGTTACAGGCATTACATTCGAACGAGTGTTCATTGGAAAAAGGGCACCAAATCGCAAGAACCTTCAGCATTCCGCTTTCGGCAAGGAACGCTAGATTTTCCTCAAACAAGTCATAGTGTTTTGATAATCAATACAAAACTTTGCCTGCATTGCGAAGGTTTTTGGTGATGTGATGTGTTTGTACTATTGCCATTTAGATGTTACATTGACTAACACTCAAATTATTCACCAATCTTACCAAATGCCTAGCATATGTTTGTGCTTTTTGTGATTCGAAAAATCCTTCCTTCTTTTAACGCCTTCAGAAATGTGATTGTGTGTTGTTTAGTCTCAGTTCGTACACCAAATCATTTATTGTGTGTTATTTAGCATTTTCGAAACATCTAACTGTACATTAGCGATAGCTGATAGTGCATTAGCTGCTTTTAAGCAGAAATTGAAAACCATAACAGAAGCACTTATTTTTAGGGTTTCATCTCCACAACGTCCGCCCAAAGCGCCTACATAAAAGAGACCGTCATTCTCATTCTTGTGTCTTGTTTTAGTGCTTGAAATTCTAAGGTCAACTTCACATTTTACAACGATATTCTTCTGAACGTGTGAACATAAATCTACCCTTTGATTCAACTGGATTGGAGGCTGGAAGGCGGGGCTTCCAGGGCAAGAAAATGATCAGAGAGTAGTCTCGCCAGAGATACGCACACTGTTTCGCGAGTGCGAGCGGTCGCCTTCCAGCCGCCGATTCGTTGAATCAGAGAGCGGTTGGTTTACAAGTGCCTGTATCATTCGAAAAAGCTAATTAGCTCTACAAGAATTGTTGTTTTTGGAGGAAACCAAGTTTTAAGTAAAAGTCGACGATTACGGTAACTCACTTTCCCGTATTTGGTCCGTATCCCGCAAAATTACCTCATACGTAGGCGGAGGGCTAGTAGCGGAAAATTGGTATGCTGACAAATTTGTAGCGAGCTGATATCCTGAGAACCATACGAACAAGTTCTTAGTAATCTTGGTGTCTCTGTCTGCTACCCTTGAAATTTATGCAGTACTAGTTACTACTACCTCAACGGCAGAATGTGTCGATCCTCCTATCGGCCTTGAATAAATGGGTTCTTTGGGTGGTGTCTGAGCACAAGCTCTGGACATCGCTTTTAAATTCTTTTGGAGTAGGGAATCCTCTAAATTGTACCATACGCCAAACTCTATATAGTGGTAGAAATGCGTTTTATCTTTTCCATAGAGTTTCTATGGATAAGAAGACTACGTTTATATGCACCATAGCTTCGTAAACAATTGTTTTTCATTCTCTATAACAATTTCGGATGAAAAACTCCCCACTTACGATTTCCGTAAGGATGGAAATTTGAAGGTACGAAATGGTCGAGATTTGCAGGTACCGAAAAAAATGCTTTGAATGTTGGTCAAACAGGGGGATTCAAGTTTGCTCCAAAAACGAGCATCAGTTCTTGTAGTGCAAGACTGGAGCTTTTGTGTAGTACAGGTACTTTGCCGTAGACCAACCACTTCATCAAAAATGCTGCCAAGAAAATTTACGAGCTTATAAAACGCCCTAATATACCTCGACATTCTCTCAGCCAACCAAACGATAAAGCTTTGAAACTGACGAACCGAATCAAAAATAGGCGTGTTCGACATACAAGGAACTGCAAACTTGTCGTGGACTCATGAAAGTGCAAATTTCCGAAAATTTTTGCATGATGCTTTCAAGACGCAAAGTTAGCAGCCCTTTAAAGTGTACTTGCCTACATCCAGGATGTCAATGAAGGTATAGTAAGTTTCAATTCAATTTAGGCGGAAACTGGGCTGGCAGGAGTTGGTTTCGCAACAATTCGTGCTGCTTGGCAGTTTGCGTCTCTTCATTCTAATCTATCTCGCTGAGCCAGTGGCGGTGCGGACGCGCTGCTTCACTTGGGATGTTTTGTCTACTCCGGGTTAAGACTGCAAAGGTCTCCTTAGTTGGAAAGAGCTACGAACATAAGTGGCATCTGTAGGATATGACGGTCAAGTCTGTCTTGAAGCATCAGGAATAAAGTTACCTGATACAACTACAGGAATCGATGTGGGGGTGTAAGGAGATACAATATTACTAAAGTGTTTTCCTGCAGCAAGTAAAACCTTGAAACACTGAATTTCGGTCACTGCTAAACGAAGCATACGCTGGCTCAAGATTCGCTCTTGAGCAAAACACGCTTTATTTCAGGATTGCGATGAATATGTACGCATTTGTCTTCCTCTTACTATTGCTCTGCTTCAACGTCAATGCTCAACAACCAAAACCGCCTGGATCTTGTAAGGTAAGAACGCGTTAAGCTTTATCACATGGCAGAAATATGACAAAAATTCGTAACTTAAACAGATACCCGGCTGTATGTCATTCCACAGATCAAAGTGGAATGTAGACGATAAAACCGGCTGTATGTCATTCTGCAGATCAAAGTGGAATGTAGACGATTAACGTTTCAAGACACCAAAGCACAGTGTCCGTTCAACTTATACTCAAGACACCAAAACACAGTGTCCGTTCAAATTAAACTTAAGACACCAAAGCACAGTGTCCGTTCGAATAAACTTTCATGCAACGAGTTATGCATACATTTGATATGTTTATGCTCAGACATGCTTTGGGTAGATTTTGCGAGGACCTCGGAAAGTTCTCTCAAAGCCCTCGCGAAGTTTTGTAGATGAGTCTAGGAAGTAAGAAATTCCCGAGAACTTCATTTGCAAACTTCCGCAGATCCGCGTTCTTTCAGTCATCAGACTTATATATCATGAATACTCCGTGATAAAGCGCAGAACCATTTGTGTCAACATTCCGATAGGTATTGTCCCTCCCCATTCTTCATTTTTACGCATTCGAGTGTATCCGTATTGGTTATCAGTTACATAGCTAGAACAATCCATATCCATAAATGTTATGATATGCAGTCCTGCGCATGAATCTTAGGGGTGGAAATGATGCGCTAAGCAGCATGGAAACTCAACTATACTGCAAATTTATATCTTGAGAATTCAGAGCAATAGATAAGAACATGAGAAATCAACAGTTTCGCCGGCAACTCTACTCAAGAAATGCACACCATAAAAGATACGATAGCCTAGCAAGTACATACTTTATTTGGAGTAGATATCGATAAGGCCATTTTATAAGTAAGATCAAAGTCCCATAAACACTACGGCCATTACGCAATGAAGTGAAGTAACACAGAAGTATTACGAAATGCCGCGAAGCTCTGAAGAAGTTTCTTATGTTTGAGTCCTCCCGACTTCTGCATTTGTGAGAACTTCCCGAGGACTACGGAAAGTTTCTCACCACGTTGCTCTTGACCTCACTATCTTCGCAAAATCTCCGTCTTTGCATCTTCATTTACCTCAATGATCGAAGTGTCGGAAGTTTTGTGAAGTGTATGTCCTCGGGAAATCCCCGCGAGTTGCCTTAGTATCTCCTCAGCGTAAGCCCTTATAGGGGAGGCTCGCGCAGTCGAAATGGATAATCAGCACAATTAGAAACCATTTCGGGGAGCTTGAAACGCTAATTTCAGATCTGTCTTCCTTAGCTGCAGAACTCTTGGAAGGGAGTTATGGGCGTTTCTCCGAGTCGGTGCCAGCACTTTACAAGCATTCGCACACGCCATATCGTGCAGCATGGCACAGTAGCACATATGCTGTCTCTGAGTAAGGCCATGGTAGGTTCAACTTTGCTCTGCGTTAACTTCTTGTTGCATGTGACTTATTGAAAACTGAGTTGAGCCTTCGAAATGATTTTTTACCTTAGGCCTCGGGCATACTTCACGCAATTTCAATCGCCACGCGATCTGGCAGTTTGCCAGATCTCTTCAAATCCAACGTTGGCAAGATCTATGCATGGCGTGTACAATTTCTGTGAATTGATAGAATGCCCTATCTTCTGGGCATTTCGAATGCCTTTAGAATGAGTTATACGCTGTTGGAGTATAGTCAAATCGCGTCGCGACTGAAATCGCGTGAAGTATGCCCGATGCCTTAGGCGATATCTACCATAGCAAATAGCTTAGTGTTTAGATTTGTCAAGAAAGCAGAGATAGATACATCGAATATCAACGATACTATATGGGATATAGGATACAGAGTGGGGATTTGACTTTGCGTGACATTAGGTATGCTACATGTCAAGAATGATGTCGCAGGCTTCCCTTTTGCACGTACATTGCACTGAAAAGTGTTTTCCCTAGGGTCTCCTCCATGAGAAAATTTCGGTTGAAGAAATGCTATTTCTGGGTATATGGAATGGAATTTACGCCATTTGCTCCAATGAATATTGCTCAAGATAAAATATTAGGTTGTCCCGAAAGTTTTGTCTGTTTTTTCAACCTATCATAAAAACGCTTGGAACGAAGATAGAGAAACGCTCTAAGCACTATCCGACGCACCTTTTTCTTCTCTTTCAAATTGTCATGCTTCCATGCCAATTAATCTTTTGTTCACTGAGATGCACGCCGAAATTTCGAACCCATGGTTTTTACTATTTCAAGTTTGGCAGTTTTTCACAATCTTTATTTTTGACTTTCGGAAAAGCTTTGGCAACATTTAGATGGAGCAAACAAAGGGCAATATAATGCAATTTTGTGGCACCTATAGCCAGCCTTAAAATTTTTTAGAATTATTCTTCTGATGCTATCAAATTCCACTTTTGGTGATGCCAAAAGCCAGAGATCATGAAACGGCGCACAACTAAGGTGCTATTCGATGCAGCTTTTCCTCCTCTTTTCCAGTGAGTGTATTTTCTCTCCAATTTGCAGGGTCTTTGGCGATAAAATTTTCATAATTGAATTTGACCCCACCCCAGCGTGTATACGTAAAATCAAAATCTTATATTTCGAAGCGGTAAACGCTCATTTGCTTCGTAAAAATAGTGAATAATCGTAATCAATTTTTGAAAGCTTCAAAATTTGATGTGTTAGTGTTCGAGGCGTTTCTGTATTTTAGAACTTCGTAAAATTGAAGGCTTTTGAAAAAAATTATCTTTAAAAATATTGAAAAGCCAGCTAGATATGCCAAATAATTGCACTGCATTGCCCTTTGCTTACTCTATCTGAGTGCTATCAAAGGTCTTCCAGAAGTTGAAAATGAAGATTACGAAAAATTGTCAAACTTGGACATAGTAAAAACCATAGGTTTGAAATTTCGGCGTTTATCTCAGTGAGTAAAAGAGTAATCGGCATGCGGGCTTGACAGTTAGAAAGAGGAGGAAAAAATGCATATTGGTATTGCTTAGATCGTTTCCCCATCTTTGTTCCACATATTTTTATGATAGGTTGAAAAAACGGACAAAACTTTCGGGACAACCTAATATTTGAAGCCTCAATCACTCAGTTAATAAGTTACATACAATGCAAAAAGACCGCCGCCCAACTGCGCTATGCTTACGCGATATGGTACATGGATGCATGTAAAGTGCTGGCACCGGCTCAGAGGAACATCATTCTCTTTTCAGGGCGTTCTGCAGCGAAGAAAGATAGTTTTGGAGTCAGCGTTCTAAGCTCTCTAAAATGGTATGCTTTTGTGATGATCGACCACTTCAACTCCGACATTCGCCGTTGCTTCGCGCAGGACTAAACGAGGTGGTAGCCACGGATTGCCTGCGCGGCAAATAGGATTCAAGAGCTCTAACTGCGACACAAGGTTCCAAGACAAATACAGCGAAACCTAAAATGTAGAAAGTCATCAAGCTTCCTTAATTGCTTCAACTTCATCTTTAACGCATTCAGTCTTCTCAGTCACCAGTTACTTACAAGGAGAGGATACTTAGTCGAAAGCACCAATCCAGATGAGACATATACCATCTTAAAGCGCTTGAAACGCTGATTCCACATCTGCAGTTTCTAGCTGCGGAGCGGTTTTGTGGGAGGAGTTATGAAGGGTGTTCCCCTCTGGGGTTTAGGCTCCCTCCAGCGGTCTCTCCTTACCTGTAAGCACTGTAGAGGAGTACCAACTGGTGGCAAGTGACCTAGCGGTAAGTGACGTGCTTGATAAAGAGAGTGTCAAGGTTTTAATCCCCTTCGCATGCAAAATTGAACTTCTAAATGGCTTTAGAGCTCTAAAGCATAAAACTTCTGATGATATTGATACTAATCGAAGTTAGAAGTGTTGAAAAACCAAAGTAATATGAGTATTATAATCTTTATTGTAATCTTCATTCAAGTTACTTACCATTAGGTCAGTTGCCATCAGCTATACTCCTCTACAGTGCTTACAGATAATGGGAGACCGCTGGAGGGCGCCTAAACCCCAGAGGGGAACACCTTTCATAACTCCTTCCACAAAACCGCTCCGCAGCTAGAAACTACAGATTTGGAATCAGCGTTTCAAGCGCTTCAAGATGATGTATGTCTCATCTGGATTGGTGCTTTCGACTAAGTATCCTCTCCTTGTTAGTAATACTGCTGCCTTCGATGCCTTCGTGACGACACGCTTTTTTCAGAAAATCAAAAATTGTTTTTACTAGTAATCATATAAAATAAGTATCTTTGGCAGAAGAAGCGCGGCTCTTTCAGGAAATGGTGAGCGCTTATGTCTGCGCTGCAAAAGCATAGTTCAAAGTATTGCTTCTTCTGTAAGGGTGAGAAAACTCACAGTGCTCTCCCTATTCCTGTTCTTGCATGACCGCTCCAAACTACTCTTGCCTCCGAGAGTTCGTTGAAAAACTTCTCGCGAGTGTCGTCCTCTTCTGCTAAGAACATCCACCACCTAAACTCTAGGGCACACGAAAGTCTTCCGAGAACCATACCTCTTTGGACCTCTAAGTTTATGAAAAAGTTTTTAGCCGGTTATTGTCATTCAAAGTGTTTTGCTTTTTTTTTGGCCCCAGGGAGTAAATCTCAGATGATCCAGCGCTAAGGCTTTTATTCTATTTTATTTCTATTTATTCAGTTTAATAAGCCCAAGGCGTGCTTTTCTAAAACAGTTAACGAAAACACAAAGAACACAAAGTAATAGAAAAACGACAATAAAAAATCTATTGAGTCAGCTCATGTCCAGCTCGAGGGTGGTTTAAGAATAGAAAGAAATCAAACTTGTTCAGGCCGTGTACGAATATATGCGCAAAAGCTCGAGGGAGTCTGTCCCATGCCTTCTGCTCGCGGCAAAGTGCTGTTTTTGTCCCTGATTCTGTCGTAGTTAATCAAATAATTGTTAAATGGTTTCAAATCTAGTGTTTTCACCTTCCTCGATGCCAACCTTCAGGCATCATTCTGTAGAGGCTGCTCAACCTAAGTCCTTGAATAAAGCGTATAAGCGACTGTTCCTCTTACTTCAGCATCGCGGTATGAAACTTCCAATAAACTTTCTTCCAAATTAGCTGCAACTTCAAAAGACCATCAAACTTTGTGATGGGGTTTCTACAGGCAGTGGTTCCAGCTAACTTTGTATAGGTTTGTGAGACAGGGAACAACTTTTGGAACATTCTATTTGGGTCTATGTGAGAGTGATTTCCGTTGTTTTATGTTTGAGAGTGATTTTCGTTTTTACTTGTTC